TTCCGTCATCTTCACCAACCATTCCTCTATTGTGGGTAATGCCAAATCTTTCTATCTTTGTGCATACAATAATCTTGCTGCAGTTATCATGTATAAAAACAACGTTCCATGACTTTTTTCCAACTGTTTATCCATCAATCCCAAAAGAAAAACCTCTGGGTTTCAACTGTATATTAATCTTTAAAATTCTCTGAATCAGTATATGTATTTGAATCCAAAATTTTCTAGCTTTTTTACACATCCACCAAACATGATAAAGTGTCCCTACTTCTTGTTCACATTTCCAACATACATTTGGAATGCCTTTCTAGAAGATTTCTCTGGCATCATTTATCAATGATACATCCTGCTGAGTTGGCCAAATTGGAATGGAGTGATCTCCTCACAACTAGACAGAACTTCTGAGAAAAACATTAAAATCGCTCATGGCAAATTACCAAAAGTTTTCTTTGATCTGATGGACAATTTAGGACTGGTTGATATATGGAGACAGAAAGATAGTAATTCAAGAGAGTATACCTACTTTTCTGAAAGACATAGATCCCTTTCAAGAATAGATGTGATTTGGATTTCAAAGAACTTGGCTACTATGGTTTCTAAAGTAGAGATATTACCAAAGACTGTTTTGGATCATAATCCTGTGAGTTGTCTTAAAAAAAAGAAAGAAAAGAAAATCTAATTCTTTTAGATGGAGACTGAATGAAATGTTGCTACAGAAAGAAGGAATAGTGGAGGATTGTAAAAAGAAATTAAAAGAATTTTTTGGAAATAATGTAGGCACTAATTTAAGAATGGTTTGAGATTCAGGTAAAGCTTTTATTAGAGGTTATTTTATACAACATAATAGCGAACTTAGAAGAGTCAATAGAAAACGTGTTCTTTTGGATGAAATAAGGAGAAAAGAAGAAATAGAAACATCCAGAGAAGATAAGTATTTCTCAACAAATTAGGCTTTTACAACAACAATTATCTATGTTAACAGTAAGAGAAATGGAAATAGAAATGAATTATGTAAGGCAAAAACTTTTTGAGTATGCAAATAAACCAGGGAAGTGGCTAGCATATAAAATAAGAAAAGAAAAAGAAAATGATATTGATATTACAAGAGGGAGATACTGTATTAATGGACGAACCAGCCATACAAAAAGCATTCCATCAATATTGTTTCAATTTATATAAAGGAAGTAATATCTTGCTAGAGAAAATAGATGAATATATAAAGAAACAAAATTTACTGAGGATTACTGAGGGACAGAGGAGATTATGAATTGGACCTATAACAATAAGGGAAGTTTCTGAGGCTATAAAAAAGATTAAACTAGGAAAGGTGCCTGGACCAAATAGATTTGCAGGTTCTTATTACAAATGTTTTGAGGATGAACTTTTACAACCTTTACAAAACATAATGAATTCTATTCTATGGGTAGGAAAAATTCCAGAGAGTTGGAAAGAGGTCAATATAGCACTAATATTTTATTTATTTTTTATATATCAAATTTGTCACCACCCATCTTGTTGAAATGACTGAGTGGTTTACAAAAAAGTTAAAATCAATTAAAATTACAATATACAATACTCTTAATA